GTTGCATGACACGAAGCACGCCGTTGCTAACGCTGTCGTAGTGCTTCAATGCGGCCTTGGCGACGGCAGCCACAGCGTAAGGGCTGTCGGGGGTGGGGACGACGAGCTGCTGACGGGTCTCCAGATCAAGGTCATAGGCATCGGACACATCAGCGACGAGGGTGGGGACGCTGGCAGAGGCGCACTCCATCGGAACCATGGGATCGCCCTCGGAAAAGGTGACGTAAAAGCAGAGATCTACGCGCTGCATGAGGTCAAGCGTGATGCTGTGGGCCGATGGCGAGAAGGGGATGACCTGGCCCACGCAAGAGTCCAGATAGGTAGGGACGGGCATCCTTGGAGGGAGGGACATGTGCACGACGGCGTCGGGCATGTGGCAGGCAGCGGCAATGAGCTGAACAATCATGTTTTTGCGCCAGTTGGTGCTGGCAGCCAGGATGGCGATGTGAACCTTGCCATCAAAAGCCGAGAAACGGACGGGGAAGGTGGTGGGCAGGAGGGGGTAGTTGGCGATGCGGGCCACGGGTCGGCCCAACATTTCCTGCATGTCAATGTCGTGGCTGGCTCGAACGCTGGCAATCTTGTGCAGGATGTCAGCAGAATACAGCTCAAACATGCTCTGGACGCACTGCACATCGGCAAAGCTATCGACGTGCTGGGCAAAGCTGCCATGGTAGACGATGGAGAGCTTGACGTGAGGATACTGCTCCTTGAGGTGAACGAGGGCGTTTTTGTAGTGTGGGATGCAGCCGTGCATGACAACGTGTTGGACCTGCTTGGTCTGAATGAGAGATTCTATCCGGTGTAAGAAGCGCGGAAAGGCCATGGAGGTGCCCATGATCGTGGGCAGGCCCTGCATGGTGGTGGCTTGGCGAATGCCCTTCCAATGGCGGTGGCATAGGTTAAGAACGGGCAGGTCGGGAGAGAGGCGATCCATGAACAGCTCTTCTTCGTAGCTGCTATATTGTTTCAAAAAGGCGGGCATCCTGCGCACGATACAAAGGAGGATGAAGATGACGAGCAGAAAGCTCAGCACGACGGCGCCCAGGGGCTGCCGTGCATAGTCAATGACACGCCGCGCCAGCGGATGGCTGGTCACGCAGCGAAACCTGCATTGAGTGAAACAAAGCAAGCCACGTTGGAATAGCGTGAGCCGGACTGTCAAGACTTTTGAATCGATGGTCTCAGACTGTGCGGGCGCGAGGGACAAGTGATGTGTGGCCTCTGCGTCTCGAGGTGGGGAGGGGGGTTCTTTTTCTATTCCGTTTTT